CCATGTTCCAACTTTCTGGGCTTCCCTGTAGGGCTTTGGGGTTCATTTAGGGTGTAGGGGCTGTAGGGCTTTAGGGTTTTTGGGCTTGGGGCTTCGGGTTTCAGGGTTTAGGGTTTAGGGTTTAGGGTTTAGGGTTGAGGATTTCGGATTGAGGGTTTAGAGGGAGAAAGGCCTCCGAAGAAGAGGATACAGAGACCACCACCCCACACGCGCACCTACACCTGCCTGCACACAGAGTAAAAACAGTCAGCTAGATAGATAGATAGATAGATAGATCGATCGACAGATAGATAGATAGATAGATAGATAGGTACATAGATACATAGATAAACAGACAGATAGATAGATAGATAGATAGATAGATAGATAGATCGATAGATCGATAGATCGATAGATCGATAGATAGATAGGTAGGCAGCTAGATGAATGAATGGAAAGATAGATAGATAGATCGATAGATAGATAGAGCCAATGGTTGCAATCAACATAGTCAACCGTAGGAACAACACTACTTTGACATTGATGAAACGAAGATACTATTAAACTATGGCAACACGGCAATAAGACTACAATACGAAGAGGAAAACCAGAAGGAGAAGAAGAGCAGCAATAGTCATAACAATCCTACTGATAAGAAGACCACGTCATGTTCCAAAAGAACCCAAGAAAAAAGCTCCGTTCTCCTGCACCGAAGGGCCGATTTGATGGTGATTTCGTCGCCCTGCAGACCTCCCCCTTCCATACGACCCAGTAGCTCCATCGCGACCTGCCACTCCCCAGCCTGTCCAGGGTTTAGGGTTTAGGGTTTAGGGTTTAGGGTTTAGGGTTTAGGGCTCCATCGCGACCTGCCACTCCCCAGCCTGTCGCTGGAACGGACACTTCAAAGTCCTAAACCCTAAACCCTAAACCCACCCGGCTACGAAAAGCATCGGACTCAAGAGGCGTCTGAGTACGGATTACGCACGTGGTCAAGGGTTTAGGGTTTAGGGCTCAGGGTTTAGGGTCTAGGGTTTGCAGTGTCCGGAGTCTTGCGGATTGAGGGTTTGGTGGTGGCCATGACACGCCGTAGGGTCACAGCTTTCGGGCTTAGGGCTTAGGATTCCGAGAAGTGTTTACTTAGGGGCTGAGCACCCCGCAAGAAGGCTTAACTTTGTATTTATATAGGTAGTATTATTAGGGGTACCCCTTAAAGGGTACCCCTTCTGAACCCTACTGTTGGCTCTCTTAAAAGGGACCTTATTGAGAGGGTCTATATCCCCAAGGGTCCACCTAATCCTAGCTCCCTAAACCCTAAACCCTAAACCCTAAACCCTAAACCCTAAACCCTAAACCCTAATCCTAGCTCCCATTATAGTAGTATTAGATTTGAACCTACTGAGCCCCTAAGTTTAGAATTTTGGCGCGACGAAGCCCAAGTCGACTTCAAAAGGTGCTTGAGAGCCCCCGGATGGCTTTATGATGCTACGGTTTAGGGTTTAGGGTTTAGGGTTTAGGGTAATCATCTTCGGAAGGGCTGGGACGCTTCAGGGGCATGCATAGGCTAATATAGGGGCATTAGCAAGCAAAATAGGGTTGGGGTCTATTATACCATGGTTATAATCAGGAGATTAAGGCCCCTGCATTACCGGATTACAGGCTCTCTGACAGAAAAGAACCTTTCCCTCAAACTGCATCTTCTGTTCCTATCAGGGCACCGGAAATAAACCCTAAACCCTTAAACCCCAAACCCTAAACCCTAAACCCCTAAACCCCTAAACCCCTAAACCCTAAACCCTTGAACCCTGCAGAAAACTGGTAAGAGCAGCTAAGAGGATCCACAGGGTTTAGGGTTTGGGTTTAGGGTTTAATGTTTAGGGTTTAGGGTTTAGGGTTTAGGGCTTGCTTGGAGGTTCATGGATAGTTATAAATGGGGTTATCAGTAGGGTAACCATACTTATGACCCTTATTGGGGGACTTACAACTCCACTTATAACTACCCATGAACCTCCAAGTAGGGTTTAGGACACGCACCCACGGGCAGCCTTCTCAAGAGCGCTGGCTGCCGCATTGTAGGTAATCACCTTGGCGAGTGCAGACCTCTAAGAGATCTGCAAGGAGCAATCAACACCGCGCCCGTCCTACAGGAATCCCAATGCCCACTAGTTACCCAGTTACCCATAATACACCCCCTGGACCCTGAAAGTACCGTACCCTACCTCACCCTGAAAGGGCCCTGGCTCTCTAACGGCTCGATGCCCAGAGCTAAGCAGGCCGGTGGCGTTCGGGGCCGTCGATGAGGTCTCTGCCTCCTCCACGAGTTTTCGGAGAACTTCAAGGTGTGGGGTTGGGGTTTGCCTTAAGAACCCCAAACCCACTTTTTTGTAGATTCCTATTATTAAACCCTAATATGGGATTTATAGGGACCCTGCAAAACAGCAGGTTTTGGGTTCTTAAGGTGGGGGTCTAGGGCTTATGATTATGAGCTACGTGCTTAGGTTTTCTTTTTGTTAAGCGCCCGCGCTTAGGGCTTAGAGCTTAGGATGTATGTAGGGTCTAGGGGGGGCGGTGTTTTGGGCTTTCGGAACTTTTGGAGGCTTGGGCTGTGGTTGAGAGTTTACCTAAACCCTAAGCCCTAAACCCTAAACCCTAAACCCTAAACCCTAAACCCTAAACCCTAAACCCTAACTGTTTCGATGTTGAAGGCTTGGATTTAGGATTCAGGCTTTGGAGTTTCGGTATGGGGAGGCGTCTATCTGTGGAGCTGCGGGTCAGCCTCAGGGTCTCCGCAAGTTCCTGTACGGAAAAACATGCGGGAATATCAGGTGGGCGTCGCCGTTCCAGAAATTCCCAAATGGCCTAAACTGCATAAACTTAGGCCTTCAGTCCTTCCGTATGTCTATGTTTCAAGCTCAGGCAAAACAGAGTAGCAAAGACCCTAAACCCAAACCGCAACATCCCAACACCCTATCCCCTAAACCCTAAACCCTAAACCCTAAACACCCTAGAGGCCCCGAGAAGAAAATGGCTGTCCTCCAAGATGCCAAGCGCCACCTCCCATGCGCCCGCACGGCCACAGGCGCTCACCAGAGTGCTGTAAGAGACGATGCTGGCCTTTCAGGAACTCGGCCAGCGCATGTTCGGTGGAAGGGCGCTTCCGGGGTTTGGGATCTTTTGCGTCTGTCTTTGTGTTAAGAAGACCTTGAAGATATGTTGAAAGTTTTCAGGCTTTGGGATTTCTCAGTTGGGAGCTGTAGAGCCTTCAGGCCAAACTTTCCGGGTAGCATTGGGTCCTTGCTTAACTGTAGGCGGGTGTGCGTAGTAGGATTCTCAGCTGATGTTTTTTTGGGCGGCGGGGTTCAATCAGGGTGCTGTGACAAGCTCTCGCCCTATCTCTGTGTAGCCACAGACCTTTCGGCTTCCGACGCTTGGCATTGGGCTTTCGGAATGAACTTTGGGACTAAGGTCAAGTTGGAACTTCGCACTTGCGGCGTACGGCCAGGCAGCCTGAACCGAGCCGCGCCGGAGAGCTGCGAACAGCGCGACAGCGGCTTGCCACCTCTTAGCCCTGCCGCAGGCATCGATGGTCGCGTTGTAGGTCACCTTGGGCTTCAGACTCATCATATCTCAGCATCAACGGCCATAGGTCTACTGGAAATCGGAACGGCCCAAAGCTAAGCTCGCTCGAGCCAAGCGAAGACCTGAATATCGCAAGTGCAGAAATTTGCATTGCGGGCTGGTGGCTGTTGTGAGCTGGAGCCCGCGCTGCGACATGTCGCTGAAGACCACGAGAGCCTGCTGCCAGCAAGATGCCTGTCTGCAAGGGGCACGGGATTTGGCCTTCAGGCTTGTGGCGTTTTTCGCGCCGGGGGCCTGGGGTCTGGTTTATGGCGTCAAACAATGTTCAAACCCAGTTTTTGACGAATGAGACCCCTAAACCCTAAACCCTAAATCCTTAACCCTAAACCTTAATGTTTAAACCCTAAACCCTAAACCCTAAACCTTAATGTTTAAACCCTAAACCCTAAACCCTAAACCCTAAACCTTAATGTTGCAGAACTCTTGACTCTTGAGGTCCTGCAAAGGTCGTTTAACACGGGACATCGCAAACGGCACAAGCCCAAGCTGGTCGACCCTTACGCTCCAAAGCCAAACCCTAAACCCTTAAACCTTAAACCCTAAACCCTAAACCCCACACCAGTCCTTGCCGCAGATGTTGACAGCAGAGCTGTACTGCGATGCAACGGCCTGAGCAGGAGAAGGGTACCATATTGGGCCCGGGTTTAGGGTTTAGGGTTTAGGGGCCAGCAGCAAAAGAAGTTCGTAGGCCTCTGGGTCTTTGTGCACATGTAGGCATCCCTCTTCAGCAGCCTTTAGAATGACAGGGTCCTCCACTTGTGGAGGGTGCCCCTATACCCTAAACCCTAAACCCTATATACCCTAAACCCTAAACCCTATATGGCCCTAAACCCCAAAGCCGACAATCCCCAAGGATCCATCCCACAAAACCTTGCAGCTGACGCTGCTTTGACCTGCAGACGCTCATCTAATGCCAGACAAGTCGCTGGGGTGGAGGCATTTTGGCGAAGCACCCATACGGCATGCTGCCACGTGCACCTTGAGAAGTGTAGTAAAAACCAACTTGGAGGTCCAGGGAAAGAAAGGAGTGGAATCTTTCTGTTTTTGATCTCGCAAGTCCTCCCAAGTCCTCGCTTCTCCGTCGGCCACACGTGGAGCATGTTACGAGGCTAATAAGACAGATCTAACAGCTGCTGGGACTTGCCCCAGCGTTTGCGGACACAGCTTGAGCTTAACCGGATCAGCGGCGCCTGGATGCAGTGTTTCGCAACCAGAACTGGTACTGGCTGCATTCCGCCAAAACCACCAGCGAAACTGTATAGTAGGCAACGAAGGAATGGATCCGTATAGAAGTCCCTATCGAACCTATTTTTCGTCCCTCTCACCCATTGGCCCATTCCACACCAGGGAGAGAATTTGGCACGCTTCTTGCTAGCTGCTCAGGTGGCAAAGCTAACGCGGAAGAATCAGAAAGCGGGCAAACTCCATGCCGACACATGATCACTTTTTCCAAAGCAAAAAGACGTACAACATACCAACAACCGCCACTCCCAATGCCAAAGACCAACCCACACAAGCCATCATCCTAGAAGGCTTGTGAATCCCTGTTTCACAGCCATGTCCAGCATCTTGTTTCTCTGGTCTTCCAGCTTGTCCTGCACAACTAAGTGGGATACAAGCCATACAGTGCCACTTACAGCCAGTGCTGCGACCGCTGCGCCGCTTGCCACGGCCGCAACTCCACCCAGCACACCGGCCCCGCCAGATGCGATGCTTCCGCCGCCGAGTGCAGCCAGACCGCTCGTGATTCCTGAAGCAGATAGACCCGCCACAGCACCACTTTCAGCCACCATGACGATACCAATCCTGGGTTCAGGTCAACCGCAGCGCTTCTCTGAAAATGTCTTTGCGTCTATTCCAAAATCAGACAAAGAAAACTAGTCCAGGCAGAGTTAAGAAACGTAGATCCCGCCACTGCCCCACCAACACCACCAATGGCAACTGCTGTTGGTGTGAGGGAGTTGTTCTCCATTGCATCGCACAGACTGTAGACGGCATGGGCGCTGAGCACTGATGGTGCCGCTGCAACTACAAAGATTCCTCCCACCATGCCCAAGCCACCGCTAGCCACGGAACCTCCGCCGAGTGTCGCCAAACCACCTGGTGAGAGCATTCACAGGCTGGGTTGCAGTAAGGAACCGACCCTAAACTACCAGAAGACGGATATGCTTTGGATCTTTGAAGCAAAGAATACTTCTTATAATGGTTACTTGGGTGAAGTTCTCGAATTCTAACAGCAACCAGCAAACGAGGGGCGTGCCGATCACAAGCAATCGAGCAGTTGATGCGTGACAATGGGGCAAGACAACCCACAATTGCCAACCAATATCTGCTAAGTCACACTCCTGCCTGACCATGGCATACACTAACCATAATGAAATGCCATCCGCAAAAGCCTCCATACGACCGTGGCACAACAAGCCGAATAGGTGTTCAGCGAGTTGCATACTGTACTGGCTGACTTCACTGGCTGACTGGGAACTCAGAGCCGTAGAACCGCACCCATGCTTAGTTGGGGTCGGGGGGATGGATCCATACACTAGCCCGGACATATGATTTTCCCCAGCTATTGTTCCAGCCCTAACTCCTCAGCAAACCCCATCGCTATCTGCAAGTAGCCAAAAAATCAATTTAAAGATGATTCCAATATGAAGGATGAGCATCCCCTAGACTAACATAGAATCCCATGTTGCTCCATCTTGCGAAAGCACTGTAGTCCGTGTAGGGCCAGCTTGGGGTTCAATAACAGTTTGGCGAGGGTATGTAGCCAAACTCGAAATGTTACAGCCTTACAAGCCGCGACAAGGCACTGGTGACGGAAGCTGCACCACAAAGCCCTTCTGCGGCAACGGAAGTGACCACGATCTTCACACCCTCCACGGAAGTCAGATGCAGGATCCTGCCCGCCACCAAAACCGCAAGAACTAAGTCTAAGCCCCAAGCCCCAAGCTCAGGCACTAGACCCTAAAGTAGGGCCAGATTGCTGAAGAAGGGAAAAGGCGTGAGGACTTAACTCGAAAGGCACAGGAGGTTCAATGGACTTGTTGTTCAAGCCTTGGCTGACAAGGAACGGCAACAACAATAGCTAGGTCTACGACTCGAAGAACAGTGGAGGACTCGAAGCTGCGTTGCCGCTAAGCAAGTAAAAATTAGGTTCCAACAATAAGAAAGGCGCATTAGCCAACTATCCATATTGGGGTCATTTGCTCTAAGTTGCTTTACAACAACATCCTGGGACTTACTCATGCTGTCGGTCAGTCCCCCATCCCAGCAACAGTCTCTAAAGGGCCTGTCTTAAGGGGCTGTCATGACTCCTGCTACCTTTTGTGGTAGCTGTCACTGTAACAGGCAACGGCCTAACTCATTCTTGTTCCAAGGATCGGGAAGGCAATCCTCTAATCATGGAGCAAGTCTAAGGTGTCTAATCTCCTTTTTCATCAGCATGGGTTACCAGTTTAGGGTGTAGAGGACGATAAAATCGAAGCGGGTGACTACTTATGTAGAAGTTACACAGATATTAACTCACGCCGAAAATGTCCCCCCGACGGGCTCAATACAGTACCACTACATATCGGGGAATGCTTGTAATCGCTGTGGTTGGGGAGGCTTGTCATTGGCGGCCAAGGACTACTCATCCTTGCTCAGAGAAGTGTTTATGGAGGCTTGAGAGGGACTACTCTGCTTCAGCGATCTATTTCCCCAGTTGTATTGCTACAGAGAGCAAGGACAATTGCTCTGCAGCCGCTGAAGCCGCGATTTCTGATCCTTTGCCTTCACCGAACAGACTTGGTAGTTTCCATAAGCAAGGGAACACCAAAATGCAGCAAAAGACTATTTTCCTGAAAATGGAGACTGAAACCCCACTTCAGGTCCTTGCTGCGTCCCAGCAAGCCGACACTGCCTTCTTGGCCTTGTCAATCTGCGCATCTGGCACAAAGGACCAGATCGTGTTTGCCGACGTCAGCACCATGAAAACGCCATCGGCAATTTTCACAAAAGCTGACGAGCCGTCCAGAACCCGATCTACCTGGCCATACTTCAAGGTCTTCGTCTGCTTACACAAGAGCTGGATGATGCTTTTCGGTTTGAAGTCTTCCTTTGCGAAAATGCCGAACCAAGCACTTCTCATGCGCCGCCATTGCTCCTCAGAGACCAGCGGATCCGGGGATTGTGCGGGCCCCTTTGACACACTTCCGCCCATCGTACAGGAAGAAGTGCGCACAAGCAGGAGGATTCGAAGGCTCTCGGTTTAGGGTTTAGGGTTTAGGGTTTAGGGGGTTTGAGCCAATGCCGGGCGACAGCCCATGCCCGAGAAAAATGAAGTATCAGGAAGGAAGGTGTTGAGGTTGTTGCCAAGTTTGAGTAGTTGCAGAAACCAGGACCCTTCAAAAACATGACACAGCATAAAAATGCACGTCCCGCCTTCGGTGTGTTGCACTGCCGTCGTGCCTGCAGCTGCAAGGCTTTTGCAACAGCCCTGGGAGGGTAGGTTGTAGACAAATAAAGTACCCCAAAACGCATGATTGACGCAATAGGGCAAATTTCTCTTGAATACCTCAACACCTTGTACGCATGCAAAGAAGATTTCTTGTTGTCACAATGCATGGTTGAAGGTGTCCACCCACGGCTGTGACGCAAATGCAGGAAGCAAGAATCCAGGCTCCGAAGCTCTGACGCCTGGAGCCTCCACCTCAACCTTCCAAGAATCTCTTTCTCTCTCGCAAAACACGGCGAACACCTAGAATTCTCAGGCTCCCAAACCTCCACATTCACATCTCTTCAGCTCCTAAAACGCCGGAAGCCCAAGGACCATCTCTGAGGCTGTCCCCACTTATTACCCACGAACCTCCAAGCAATGTAGCTACTGTCACATCCATCCAAAACTCTAAACCCTGAACCCTAA